GTTTAGGTTTATAGGGGGGTTAGGCTCCCTGTAACTTTCTCGGTCTGAGGCCGAGTTGTGGCTGCAATTGATCTCCCTAGCATTCTCGAAGTTTGTTGCCCCTGTTTCAGGGGGTCAGAACCTACTTGCTACTTACTGTGAAGAGCTTTGTGGAGGGTTGGGATGGTTTCGAACTACAAGTACTGGTTCGGGCTTCTGCTTCAGGACAATCTCCTCGAGCCTGTGTCACCTCGCCACTTGAAGTACAGAAGCGAACTTACCTTCGAGGTGTAAAGCTTCCTCCAAAAAATGCACGAAAAGGTCACATAATGTCGGGATATGACCATCAACCCAAAACCTCTACACCCTAAACCCGAAATCCCAATCCCAAACCCAACAAGCCCTGACCCCGCAACGAGCCTCGTTGCGGGCTTTTCGCCACGGCCGTCCATCCTCTGGAACCTTGGCAGCACCCTTGAAGGTTTAAGTTTCCAGAACTTTTTGTTACGAGCCATGGTGTCTTATATAAATGGCTCTTGAACGGTACGTGTCGAAACTACGAAGAGAGGAATGCTGTTTGCTGTCATGGATAGTACCCTGTTGCCACCATCGGGTCACTCCTAAGACTATTTTTCGGGTCTAGGGAGTTTAGGGTTTCGGGTTTAGGGAGTTTAAAGGTTTAGGGGGTTGTGCGGCATTTAGTTGTTTCGGGCGTTGGGCTTTGGGATTCGGGGGCAGGTTTACGAGAAGGATCCTTTTAGAGGGCGGGAAGGATCCTGTTTGTGCTTGAGCTTCAAGATTGTTTTGGGTTCTCTGGGTGAGGTTTTTGAATACGGCATTACAGAGTACAACGGTAGAAGCCCCTATACGACCCAAGCAGCCGAAGCCCGAAAAAGGAAGCCTGAAAGTTGAGTAAGACAATTCCTCAGACTCCTCAGACCTCCCTATCATAACGAATCTGCTAGATGGGTCGTTCTTTAGATTAGATCCCCTTTTTGATTTTAATACCCCCCCAAAATAGTACGGCACCCTTACAAAAAGAACCCAAAGAAGGGGCCCGAGTTCAAAAGACCCATCCTGTACCTAAAACCCTTATTGCTCCTTAAGGCTCCCTCTGTTCATCCCTTTATGACCACTGTTCCCCCGATCCTGCAAGGCTCCTAACACTGTGGTGGTGGTAGTGGTAGTGGTAGTAGTAGCAGAAGAAAAAGAAGAAGTAGTAGTAGTAGAGCAGTAGGAGGAGGAGTAGTAGTAGCAGCAGTAGCAGTAGCAGTAGCAGGAAGCATCTGCAAACTATCCCGAATCCGTCGGGTCCCGACGAGAGGCGGTTTCGAGTTTAGTGAGTTTTCGGGTTTCGGGTTTAGGTTTAGAGTTTCGGGTCTAGGGAATTTATGGCTGCGGGCTTAGGGAGTTTAGGGTTTCGAGTTTACGGAGTTTAGGGTTTTAGGCTTAGGGAAGTTTAGGGAGTTTAGGGTTTAGGGAGTTTAGGGTTTAGGGCGTTAAGGGTTTCGGGTTTACGGTTTCAAACTTCAGGGTGTCGGGTTCAGGGCTTCCAATATCGCAGAGTTGTTTCTGCACTGGGGTTTGCACCACAATCCCCAGCAAACAAGGAAACCGTGCAATTGACACCTCAAACCTGCTCTGGGTCCACATTTCGGGTTAAGGACTCAACTTTCGGTCTGAACTTCAAAACGGGAAGCCCAGTTCAACCCTAGAGCCCGAGACTTGACTGAGGGCTTGGACAAGTTAGGGATATGTTGCTTGAAAAGCTCCCAGTACCAAGGCTTTTTGCTCCTGTTCGGGTCCATGTCAAAAACTGCCAAACCCTTAAACTTTCGACCCTGCAACCCAGAGCGCTAAACCTTTTGCAATTAGGCCGTTTTGCTTCGGAATGAAACCGTTGAGAGAACCTGCTACAGCCTGCTTGACAAGACTGATTGCTGGGCACAAGCTTGAAGCTCTAATGAGAAGGTGTTTAAAGGAATCATGCAGCAAATATCCGAAACCTCCATATTATGATGCCGCGAGGGGAGGGTTGGATTCGAAATCGCACATGTCACGAGCACTTCGCATGATTCTTGCCGAATACAGCAACAGAAATTGTAAGACCCATGCGAACTTCCGGAGAGCGATTAACAATACCGCTCATTGACTTGAGCAAAGCATTGGGTCCAGTTTAGGATTTAGGGATGGGTCTGCAGCAATATTAACCATCGCAGGTATCCAAATACTGCGCGAACGGCTTGCGCAACAAGAACGCAAACTTGCAACGCGGGTGATAACGAAAACCCACATGGCCCCTTCGACACGATCTACACTAAGCATCCAATAGCATCCTGGTTACCTGGCAGACACTGGTAACCCATGGAGGCAAGCTATGGTGTGCGGTGCCAGTGACGTTATAAATGTGCACCACAATTGGCGCAACATCGCTTCAACCCGTCGGCGCTCATCCTTGCAACCCTTGATACCTAATACAAGCGGACTTAATAAGTAGAATAGGCTTCTCCTGTACTATAACACAGAAATGCAAGGCATAATGTTGGTAAGTAATTATCAGTCTTTGGCTCGGTGCCTAGGCCGCATTCCCTGTAACCTTCCTTACACCCAGCCCGGAAAAGCTAAGCCTAGAACCCCTAACCCCGTTGATCCCCAGACGGTTCCAAACCCTGGTGCCGGAAACCCAGCCTGCTGTAAGTCCTCATGAAAAGCGCAATAAAAACAGCCCATACGCGGCCCTGGAGTGGGCTGATCGCCTACAACCCGACTTACAGCAGCATGGGACTCAGCATGTACGGCAATAGAACCTCAACAGCATTGCTCATGAAAACGTTGACTTACGAAAAGTAACGCCGGAGGCACCTTAAACTTTGGCCCTAAACCCCAACACTCTCGAACTCTCACTCTAAACAAAATCGCAGACCTTAACCAAACTTCACTATGTGCACTTGCTTCTGCGGTTTCTCACCTAGCTGCCTTCGCTCGTTCTGGAAACCCAGGGACGAATTTAGACCAGAGGGGCTCAACGAAAGAACCCCACTTTGTCTTGTTTCAGTATTTCGAAGTGGGTGCAAGTGCTGGAGTGCCTTGCAAGCATAACTTTTAAAATGAAAGACTGGGTGCTTTCTTCGGCAGATTCCCCCCAAACCTTAAACCCTAAATCCTGGGAAATATTTATTCTGGGATCGGCAACTACCCTTTCTCATCCAACACCGTCGCTGTAGGTTACACGTGGGGGTATGTGTAGCTTGATTGGGATCAGGTACAAACGATTCACCCCCAAACCCTCAACTCTAAACCCTGAACCTCTTTGCCCCCTGAACCCTCATTCGGTTAAGGGTCTTAGAGCTTGGAGTTTACGGCTCTCAGTTTCCGTTGTTAAACCCCCGATGCTAAAACTCGACGGCAGACAACCCTGTGATCCGGAACCGGATGTACTGGTGTTCGATGTTTCTGATATTCAGGTTTGTGGCTAAGGAGACCCTAAATCCTAACCCCAAACCCTGAATCAACTATAAGGATATGAAGCCATTCATTTCTCAGTACTCTTTCGTGCACAGCCGGCCAATTTCGCAGGAATCATGGAACTTATAGGCACTGGGACAAATACTGAAGTTCAAGATGCCCCCCAGACCGGCAGTAGCAGCAGCAGTAGTCCTAGTCGTAGTCGTGGTCGTAGTAGTCGTCGTCGTAGTAGTAGGAGTCGGAGTGGTGGTGGTAGTGGTGGTGGTGGTGGTGGTGGCTAATCTTTTCGAACAATGTTTTATCTTTGGTTTGTTGTTGTGTTTCATTTGTTTCTGATGGGTTTTCTTCTTGTGATGGTTCGTTTAATCTCTGATACATGTATCTTATTATAAAAGATATATAATTTTTCTTTAAATACTTTTGTAAAGAAATTATATAAAGAAAATTTTACTTTTAAACCATTTCTTCAATAGATTTATTTTTGTGTATCTTATTTTTATGTTTTTAAATCGTTTATCTGTATCCTTAATCGATGCTTCTATTGTCGGCTTATTCCATAAAATATTTTTAGCCCAAAATCCAGCAGTGTTAGGATCTTTCCAATCCTGCTTAACGCTGTGTCTTGCAATATATCTTTCCTTTCTTTCCTCGTCTTTATGTTTAGTAAAATCTGAGTATTCAGTAGCTCCGAAAGATACAGTCTTTTTACCGTTGATAACAGCGGTTTTCAGTGGTAGTAGTAGTGGTAGCGCCAGCGGCAGCGGTAGCGATAGTGGTACTAGTAGTGGTAGTCGTCGTCGTAGTAGTAGTAGTAGCAGTAGTAGTAATAGCAGCAGTAGTAGTAGTAGTAGTAGCAGCAGTAGTAGTGGTGGTGGTGGTAGTAGTAGTAGAAGTAGTAGTAGTAGTAGTAATCGTCGTCGTCGTAGTAGGAGTAGTAGTAGTAGAAGTGGTGTACTACTGTTGTTCCGATTAATGTAAATAGGAGTAGCTATTGTTGTTATTGTTGTTGCTGCTGCTGCGGCTGCTGCAGTGGCAGAGCGGTAGCAAAAGCAGCCGTAGCATAGAACACTGGCAGCAGCACAGACAGCGCTAGTCATGGTGGACGTGGTTGTAGGTTGCAGTGGTACTTTCCGTCGTGCTGGCATATAAGACTTGGTGCTAGCAGCAGCGCTTGCAAGTGATCCCCGCTTTTTTGTGCGAGTGCCTGCAGCAGCAATGTTGCACGATAGGAGCAGCAGGCCCGATGGTACGCTTCTCACGCGACGGGAGCAGGGCTAAAGGTTACCCAAAACGCGTGAGCAGCCATCAATCTGCCTATGGGCCCCCATGACCCAGTCTAAGATGCAAACCCTAAGACCCTGACCCCTCAACCTTCCGCACAATTGGATCGCATCATCGCTATAACACCCCCTTACCTTAAAGGGGTACCTAAACTAAGCCCCGCACCGTAGAATCCCTCTAAACCCCCGAGTAGCAGTGGTAGTAGTAGTAGTAGTAGTAGTAGTAGTAGTAGTAGTATTAGTAGTAGTAGTAGTAGTAGTAGTAGTAGTAGACGGAAGAAGTATAAACTATAAACCTTCTAATCCTCGACCCTACCAGCCCCATAAACCCCAAATATCTTTAAACCCTAAACCCTTAACCCCTAAACCCGAGATCTTCAGTCCAGGACACCCAGTATGGCGGCGTAACGAAGCGAAGGCCTTCCCAAGTCCAATCCTCAATGTAGAGTTTAAGGTTTAGGGTTTGAGAGTGTAGGGTTTAGGTCTTTAGGGGCTTTAGGGTTTAGGGTTTAAGGGTTTAGGGTTTAGCCTAGATACAGGGTAAGATGGGGGCCTTCATGAGCAGAATAGGGTTCCTTTAGAGGGCTCTTTTAGAGATTTCTATAAGGGAACTAGAACAAGGCTCCTTCAAAGGGTTCCCACAAAAGGTTGCTATGAGGGGTTTACAATAAGGAAGTCTAAAGAATGATACATGCAATCATATTGCCTTGTATATTAGCTATTCTTGTTTTGCCTCTTGCTTCTTTCTGCCAGGGGTTTTAGCGCTTGTGTCTCAGATTATTATAATAAGGCTTCAATATTGACATGTATTGAAACTTTGGAGTTTAGTTTTTCTGTGTTGGGCTTTCTGGCTCAATTTGAGGTTGTAGTATTGAGGACTCAGTCCTTGGTATCGAAGTGCACGTTTCAAAGCCGAGTCGTGGGTTGAGGGCTCAAATTTTGGGGACTTTGGGCTTAGGGCTCAAGGGTCAAGGGTTTCGGGCTTGGGGTTTAGGGTTCAAGGGTTGGGGCCCCTAAGCCCCAGCAAAGCTTAAGCCTGAAACCCTGGCTATGCAGATAACTACGAGTAACTATTTCTCAGGCTCCCTAAACCCTGACGTCCAAACCCAAACCCCATGCCTTAGCCCTAAACCCCGACCCTAGTTTGGCTTTGCCACGTGCGGGAATTCTTTCGTGATTGTAGTTTGGTATGGATGAGGGTTTGAGATTTCAAGACTTCAGGGTGAAGTCTGTCGGAATCTGAGGAATGAAAAGCTCGGAGTTTAAGGTCGAAAGATTGTAAACTCGGGTGCGGTTTCAACATTTCGAAAATCTTGATGCCCTGTTGAATGGAGGAGGTTCGGTAGTCTAGGGTCTAGCCATAAACTATCTAACATTAATACGTACTACCGTATAGCATGAGATATTTGAATACACTATGTGCTTTACTTTAATGAAGAATAACGGAACATAACTTTAGCCCTATTCCATCTTTAAGGCTTGAACTTGTACTGGGGATGTTACACTCCTCGCAATGTCCGGCCACTGCTGGGCATTCCACGCCTCGTCCACCTGCCAAACGTGCAGTGTAAGCCCGACTTACGGCTCAAGATTTACATTGGGGTTTAGGGTTCGGGTGTAGGGCTTAAGGTCTAGATTGGGGTTTAGGGTGCTTTTTTGACGGCCTTTTTTCCGTCCAGCCCAATCGCTACTAGGAAAGCCCACTAGGGGCACGCGGCCGGACAACATTTGGTCCCGCAGAAAACCTCAGCTAACCCGGCATGCAACAAGCCGCATCAACCCGCATCAACCATCCAGTTGGTTTCCCTGCCCATCTTGTCGCGGCTGGTCTCGTCCCGTCGCTTCGCCCGCACCCTGGTGGTGCTGGTGCAGCAACATTTCCTGCTGCCGCTGTTCCTCCTCCTCCTCCTCCTCCTGCTCCCGTTGCTGTTAGACGTCGTCGGTTAAGTTCCATCCCACTTTCATGTTCCAGGTCACGTTCAGCCTGCAGGCCCGCCCTTAAGACAGCATCGTCATCCTCCTGTTGTTCATTGGCCGGGGTTGGTTCCTCTCCAGTCATCGTGGTAGCCCCCTCATCCACTTCAGCCCCAGCCACAGCCAGGACTTCCTCCGAGGCATTCTCAGTCGAGTCCATTAGTCAGTTTCATCCCAGCATTCACCATGCAGGAGCATCGGATGAGACGCTTGGAGCAGTCCACGGAGTCTCTGCCAAAACTCTTCTCCGCCTCGTAGTCCCAAACCTTGTCCCAGTCGGGGGAATAGGAATCTGAAGCCGCCATGCTCGCCAGTTCCTCCTGGACCCACTCCAAGCATCTCTGCCACGTCATAGACCGCACCCTCGGAGAACTTGATCGTGTAGTGGTGAGCTACATATAGAGGGACTCTCTTCGGCCTCCCGTTTTCTGCGGTGTGAACCTCCATCTCTCCCTTTACCAGCAGGCCCAGCATCACGGTCAGGTCCTCCCCATAATCTCCACAAGCACGACATCACGATGCCGTATCGTGAAGTGGCTGGTGAGGAGCCGGCTGACCAGAACCTGTAGCAGACCGACTTGCATAACCTAGAAGTCCGCAGCAGTCAGCCCTTGTAGCATGACCCGACGATCAGGTTCGTCTTCTTGAGGAAGGATGGCCCCCCGGGTGAACACGCTGCCTGGCCCACGCCAACCTGGCACATGGAAACAGCATCATCGACAGATATGGATTGTCGGTCGGTCATGTCCCGGGAGCCGCCCCCTGTGCTGGCGGTGCTGCGTCCACACCGTCCGCCTCGGTCGCCGCCCTCTCTTCGTGAACGCTCCGGCGTGGTTGGTCTCCTGCACGACGGTGTTCTCGTCCATCACGCTTACTCGGTGGGGAGTGACGGCTTCGTTCCAGGAGGTCAGAACCATCATCGTCTTCATTCCCCTTCTCCCAGGTCCCTGGTAGCCAAGGTTGCCCATATGCGCCAGACCAGGCGATCCGCGGGTGGCAGGACTTCCTGGCTACGGCCAGTCATCAGTTGTTCGCTTTCACCTACTGCTCTTTCCAGGCGGTCCAAGAACAACAACGACAGCTCCGCCTCGAACCACGCAAGAACATCACGATATTGGGGATAAACTTCTTGACATAACCGGAAATCACCAGCCAGGGGTAGACCGAGTTGAGCCAAGAAACCCTCCATTCCCCATCGAAGTCATCCTCCCTTCTCGCCCACGATAGCTTTTGCAACAAGGAGGAGAGACAAGGGCTAGACGCCCCTTGCCGGGCTAAGGGCTTGGTCTAGACTGCTACGCTACACCCTGAACCCTAAACCCTGTATGGTCTACGGCTCGGTGTTCATAGGCCTTCAGCGGCTTTGTTGACACCTGGCCTAGGCTTCAAACCCGAAAGCCTCAAAAGCTTGAACCCTGAACCCTAACCTTTAGGGTATATATAGGGCCCTAAACCCTAAACCCTAAACCCGGAACCTGAACCCTACACCTCCAAAACCGAAGGCCTGGAGTATGGGCCTGAAGGTCCACTCGAAGCCTTTTAGGAATTCCATTTAAGTGGCAACAATGCGAGCTCAAGTAATAATAATAGGGTTTGGGTGGGTACATTATCCTATGAATATAATTTGGGTAAGTCTCTAGGCCCCTATAGTATACTGGTATCTTTACTCGATGTCAATCTCCTAACCCCTAAACCCTACAGCAAGACCCGGCACAGGGTTTGGGGCCTCGGGTTTCGCAGTCTCAAAACCACCCGTAAACTACCGATGCTGCGCTGTCGGTTCACTTTATCGGCTTTGCGGCTTGGGGTTTACCTGGCTCCAAGTATCCACTAAATGACAGCTTCTCTCGTTAGCTCAGCGGCCAGATTTTGTTTGAGTAAGGGCAGGGCCAGGCGACTCCCAACAGCCCCCCCAAGAGCAAGGCCGGGGGGGGAAATGTAGGGGCGTCGATATTTTTTTGGGAGGGGCCTCCATGATTAGAATAAGGTTTTGGGGTATATCAAACTACAACTATAATAACGAGCCACCCCAAAGTAGCATAGGCAATTATCAAGGTAGCTATATTAGGAAGGTACACCCCGCGTGGCCCCGCGTGCGTTCGCCGGCGCTTTTTTAAGTGGGACTTTTGCTATTTGCGGCTCCTCGAAGGCCCGAAGGTGAGGTTTGGGTTACTCCTGTGTAGCACCCTTATTCACTGTTTGGGTTCTAGGGTTTGGGTTTAGGGTTTAGGGTTTGGGGGTTCACCGAACCTCCGCCCCCCTTCGTCGAACCTCGCCCTAGGGGTTTAGGGCTTTAGGGGTTAAGGTTTAGGGTTCTATGGTCATCTATCGACCCTGTCCAGGGACTCCGTCGGAATCCTGGAACCAGAAGCTTCCAAGCTGCCTCGTCCACCAGTGGCCCGTCCCAGTACCTCGAGCTAGGCTTTAGGGCTTGTTGTGGGGGTCTCGGATTTAGGGATTCGCGACTTAACAGCTTCATGAGGGTTTGATAAAATCTCAGGGGCTCTGCATGTGGTTCTGTACACTTATCTAGGAAATGCGAATTCTTGAAGGATCAGCAGATAGGTACACTCATGGGGCTCATGGGTACCCCCCTTGGGAGCAAAGCCCTGCAGAGCGACACCGCCGTGGTCTGCTGGGATGATCTCCGAGTTCATCTACCATGCAGGCAGGGTCACGCGTAGAGCCACCTCCACCCGACAATGTATTCAAGCAGCTCACCTGGCATGAGCTGCAAGTATCGGGAAGGAAGTTTTTTTTTTTTTGCATTCAGGTTCATTGACGCATCAGGGCTTTGGGTGCAGGGCCTGGATCTAATACAGTGGACAAAACATGTTAAAACAATTTCGGTGGATATTCATTAAAGTACATTGCTGCTGTTCTACTGGGATCAACAAGGGGATACGATTATTACTAACTCAGCACCTTCCTGAGATCATAGGCAAATGCACAAGGACGCTAGTTGCACCATTTACGGGGATGGACCTCCTTGTCACCTCTGGCTCTGGATGTTTCCAACTCCGGTCCAGACAACACCAAGACTCCAAGTAGACAAAACAAATCTTACGCTGGCGTTTCAAGTTCCTAAAGAGTAGCCTCATGTGAACTGCTTTTTGGGGTGTCGGATACCAGTGGGCTCTTTGGGAGGATAGAGGAAATGCCGCTGGTTTGCTGCTGGTATTCCACAATGGCAGCTCGAACCTGCATTGAGGTTTAGGGCTTCAGGCTTAGGGTTGTACTCGGGAGTTGTGAGTGCACGGCCCATCATATCAGCACTCATGCCGACATGAGATACAGAGGGGCAAGTTTAGATTATGGTAGGATGATTTAAATCTGAAGAAGAAAGGTTAACCTACTCAGCTACTAAGGATGGAGCGCTGCCAACCTGCTGGCAGCTGAGGCTGAAGCTTCTTTTCGTCTTCAAGATCCCAGAAAGGTGAAGACCAAACAGCCATCCAACTAGCTCTTGGAGCTCCCTGCTCCGATGCTGATGTATCGCCGCCAGGTAGGCATCAGGCACGTAGACTGCGTTTCAAACGGTTTAGGGTTTAGGGGTTTAGGGTACAAGTGGAGCCAGCAGAATGCCGTCTGCGGTGCAAAAAAATGGAGTCTTGCTTCGGGCTCTCTGCACAGTGCCATCCTCAACGTGCTGATGTTCTTGTGTGAGAGCTTCTCGTTTTCCTCATAACATCCTGTATGCAATTTCCTGCAGTCACAGTATGTTACAGTGTAATATGCACCCTATCCACATTATTTTGCGGTAAGTACGCCCTGCTGGCGGGCGGGATGGACGCAAGAAGCTTAAATGACCTTCCTTTTGATTTTCCTTCCGACAATTATCTGGGGAAGACCCCCTTACACCCCCTTTTTGTGTTTGGTTCACGCCTCAGGTGATGGAGCGCAAGCCCACATTACTGCAGGAGTTCTCTGCTCACAGCAATACCTGAGCCGTCTCGTCAGCCTCCATGCTCAGACCTAGCTACCGAAAAGACTATCGACCCATCATTGCTTTGCGTGGTTGCGACGGCAAAACAAGCGAGATGGTGAAGAGAGAGCCTGTGGAAAAAAAGAGGAGGAGGACCAGTCAGAAACGAAATCTTGGTTCAATGATTGGGGCGGAAAGCTTCGTGCAACAAGGATTGGACGTCTTTGCCGGGAAACCCGCAGCCCTGATACCGGCATCTAAAAACTGTCTGAACACCCAGAGCAGGATGCTTTCATGGTTCTGAGCACATATCTATGAACGTAAAGGAGGCATGCTGCCAGCTAGTTCTGGAGGCTCTTATATAGAATCACATACTCTCAAACTGATACGCGGAGACCCGAAATTAAATCTTGACCCCTTAGAATCTCAGAAAGCGTCTGTGTGAGTGCGAGCCAGGAGTCAGGTTTCGTCTTAGGAATACGGAGCTTTTCTTAAACAAGTGTTGGTAGGGTTGTATGTGGTGAGGATCGCTGAAGTTGCAGGTGTTGACGAAGCCTGGTTTAACAACAGAAACACGAATCTAATATCGCGGTCTGAATAATTAGAATAGGGTTTTGGGGGTCGTTTATAGTACAAATCTCATAAGGAGCCCCCCAAATAATATAGGTAACTATTGAGGCCCATATTGGCCCAACCTTTCTGAGTGAGTGAGTCACATGAGCCTTCAAGCAGTCTATTCCTGATATAAAGGCTACGAAGCCGGCGATCCAGTTGCCATTGGACATTTCCTGAAACCCTAAACTCTAAACCCCAAAACTTTAGTCTCAAGACTCAAGACCCTAAATCTAAACCCTGAAGTTCAAGGAACCTGAGCCCAAACATTCCGCAGGAATTAGGATGTGGTTTTGGGGGCATTACAGCAAAAAAAAACTGATCAGGAGCATTGACGAATACTACTCCGACTTATCTATGGTACCGTTGATCGTGACCCCTGCAGTTAGCAACCCTTGTAGCAAACCATAGTTGTTTTGAGCAGGGACTGCAATGCGCAAAGCCCTAAACCCCTTCAGCCAAGCTCCAGACGCGAGAACCATAGTAAACCTTCAATCCTAAACTACCCCCTAAACCCTAAACCCTAAACCTAACCGGCCTTCATGGCCTGCTGGCCAGTTCGACCTGGTGCGCAAATGGCCCAGCCCAGAAGCCCAAACCCAAAGCCTGACCTTGGGGGTTTAGGGTTTAAGGGTTAGGGGTTTAGGGGTTAGGGTTTATGGGTTAGGGTTTAGGGGTTTAGGGTTAGGGTTTAAGGGTTTAGGGGTTGACGGTGTAGGCTGAAATTGAAACATCAAACACTTAAGCGCAAAAAGACTTGACCCACGAGAACCATCCTCTGATCAAACGTAAGAGCCTGCTTCGGAGCAGCTAAACGGCACCTAGCAGTGTCCCCCATTCCCTGAACCCCTCCAGCCCAAGCCAAAACTAAACCTGAAGATTCAAAGCCCAAGCCCCATGTGAAAGCAGAAAGCAACGACAACACACGCATTTCAGGGTCCAGGGTGTAGTGCTGGGCGCTCCGGGGTTTAGGGTTGGGGTTTGGGGTCTGCCTCGCAAAAAACGTTTGAACACTCACATCCGGCAACAGCTCAAGCTTCGACCATGCTCCTGAAAGAAGAATGACCGAAGAACAGTGCAAGCCTCTTGGAGCACCAGGTAATCACTGAGGAGATCACCGGAAGCTGTGAACCCTAGCAGCCCGATAGACACCCTACCCGAATGCGAATCACCGGAATGAACACCCGAAGGTCCAAAGATCAAGCGTTGCGGGGGCCGCCCGGCATCCTTCATCAACGGGTCTGGTCCTGGGTTTTAAGGCTCGGATGCTTTGTGTTTGTAGGCACAGCAAGCGTCAGGAATGGTGCGATGCTCTGCGGAATCCACACCACCACCCAAGTTGCCATGATGGTTGAGAGGCCCCGGTGTGCCTGGAATACTATTGACAATAATACGAGTATCACTATTATTATTACTACTATGGTTGATAGTTACTACTGTTACTGTCATTACTATGGTTGCTACGAGTGTTACCCACAAACCTGTTCTTCATGCCAGAACAGGGTGCAAATATCAAGCAGCTCTCACAAGCATGATAAGTCATTGGTATGATCCAGACAGAGCAGGCTTAGGGTTTAGGCCCTAAACCAAGCTTAGGGTTTAGGGACAGAGTAAGCGGTGTTTGGGAGGGCGGTCCATTGAAGCCCTGAAGCCTGCAGCACCCACCTCCAATCCCAACCTTCTGCACCCTGACATGCAGACTCTAAGCTGCAGTCCACAGCTGAACGAACCTGAAACCCTGAACCCCGAAACCCCAAACCCTACAAGCCCTCAACCCTAAACCGCAAACCCTAAATCCTAGACCCCTCAAGCGCCAAACGCTAAGCCCTAAATCCTAAAACCCTACCTCACACCCGGAGCCCCCACGCAAGTCAGCCCCAAACCGTCAACCGAATCCTCACTGGTGCTCTAGGGTTTCGGTTTTCGGGTTTAGGATGCAGGGTTTAAGGCTTCGATGATTTTAGCGGCTCTGGGGCGAAGGGCGTAAGAAGCCGAATCTGAACGAGTCGCCATGAAGAATCCCTTGCATAAGGAACCCCGCTGCGGATTACCCCACCTTCGTCCGACTGCTGGAGCCCTTGGAATCTCGAGCCGGGTTTAGGGTTTAGGGCTGCGAGAACCAGACCCTTAAAACAAACCAAGCTGGCAACTGTGTCTTAGGGTTACCGGGGACATCAAGGAGACAGCATTGTTGAATTTTTCAAAGCCTTTCTACATACCCCAAAACCAAACCTGGCGTTTCAGGCACCGGCCGTAGAAGCGCAGCTTCACCTCGGCGTTTGGGGCTTCGCGGTTAGACTTTGGGGTTGCAGAGCTCCGGCACCGGGATTTTGCGGTTGCGTTTTGGGGCCCAGAGCCCTTGTGTACACACTTCAAAAGGTAGGGCGCCTAAAGAACTAAGGAGCTCCCCGAGAGCCGACAGACGCGTCAATCTCGGGCATTGGGAACGGGTTTAGGGTTTGGTTTAAGATAATCTGCGCTTTATGCAAGGACGAGCCTCGAGAGGCAGCACGTTATGTTCCACAATAAGGCAGCCCTGAGGCCACAAACCAAGTCACCTTGACCCACTTCAACACCCTACTTGAAGGGTCATGGAAGCGTGTAACATCAGGGCTACTGTACTCCCTCTTCTATCTTTTAAGAACACACGATGCACACCTCAGATGCCCGAGCACCCAGCCCCGCACTCAAATGCCTACCTACAGCAATGTCCGACCTGGACGTCTCTCAATAAAACCCGCAAATACTTGGAGGTTCATGGGTAGTTATCAGTGGGATTATAAGTAGGGTAAAAAAAAGTTATAATCCATATTCAGGGACTTCTAACCCCACCTGTAAACTACCCCTAAACCCTAAACCCTATAGAACCCTCCAAGAAAGGCCCCATAACCCCAATTATAACTACCCATGAACCTCCAAGTAGGGATACACAGAGGAGATCGGGGTTCGGAGTCGCGAGCTACTTTCCCAAGGTCAGCACACCCGTCTGAATGGACTTGAGGGGTTTAGGGTTTAGGGGTTTAGGGTTTAGGGTTAAGTTTTAGGGTTTAGGGTTTATTCGACACCCACAAGCCAAGCAACCTAAACTCTACAAGCCAGGCCACACTTACGAAGAACCACCTGAGAAGTGCCTTTCGCTGGCAGCATTCGCGCGAGCGCGTCCGCATCTATGAATCTATCTATCCGTCCATCTATCTGTTCATCCGTCAACCATCGTGTTGTAAGCCTCATGCCAGACCCCACGTACCTTGTTGCTATATGCACTAAAATGCTTGCGGAAGGTATACTGAGGATCTCAAGGATCAGATATCGGGTTTCAAGATATCGACAGTGCTGCTAAACCCTAAACGCAAACCCCTGCACCAATTTACACCGTAAGACACTGAGGCTGCAGGGTGGATGGCCCCGCAGGGCCTCATATTGCCAGTGATGAGCAGTTTAGGGTCTAGGGTTTATAAGTGTTTTTTGAATGTGCAATGGCCTTAATAGGGTTTAGGGTGTAGGGAACTCTACAGGCTTCCAGGGTAGAGGAACCTAGCTTTCAGGTTCTAGGGCTTCCAAAGCTTAGGGCTTAACAGCTCTTCCGGCCGAGTTTTCAAAGACCCTGCGTTGGAAACGCCCTGAGGCACTGGCGACCCGCGAGTACGCTGGCGGAGCATATCCGCGTGCGATGTAGATTGGCCGCTTATCCTCTCGGCGCGCAGGATAGCTAACCTAAACCACTTGGAGGTTCATGGATAGTTATAAATGGGGTTATAAGTAGGGTAGCTATAGTTATAACCCATATTAGGGGACTTCTCAACCCACTTATAACTACCCATGAACCTCCAAGCAGAAATCAATTCCCCCGACCACTTCCTATGAGGCCTCAGCCACCCCCAGCTATCGAAGAGGTTCACAGTAAAGGGCCTTTCTGCCGAAGTGCAGAGATCAAAACTCAGGGGCTGCAATTCAGGGCCCCGGAGTTGGGGTTTAGCGTGTATAGGGGTTTAGGGGTTTGCAGGGTTGTTGGGGGTTTAGTTTAGGGCTTAATCTAAGGCTTAGGCTCAAGCCAGGATCCCGCACCACAGCCTCTGATTCCAATAATCCCCCAAAACATCCCCAAACCAACGAGGACGTACACCTGATACCTGGAGAAGTCATGCACCTGCACCAGGTCCGCTACTGAGCCCTATCTATTCTTGAAAATCGAGTTTAACTTAAATCATGACAACTATAACTGAAGGTATTGCACTCCAGCAAGCGCTTTGGGGTTCTTGCCTCAAACCCTCGAAGCCGTTGACCAGCAACACACCCTGAAGCACTAAACTGTAAAGCTTCGAGGTCCCTGAGCCTTCATAGAAACCTCAGAAGCCCTATCCAAGAGGCCACAACACCCCGAAGACCTTGTTTAAACACAGCAACAGAAGGTTCTCACGTCCCCAAAACTCTGAAGCCCATAAGCCTCTGAGCACTAAAATCCCTGACCCCCAAACCCCAAGGGAATTTTGGCCCGAGGGCTCCTTGGAAGAGTTCCTGTAAGGCTTCCTTTAAAGGGATCCCCCCTATCGAACCCTCGGTTTAGGGTTTAGGAGTTTAGGGTTTCGGGTTTAGGGTTTAAGGGATCCCTCAAAGGAACTCCCAAAAGCAAACCAAGACGTGTCCCGCTCTACGAGCTGCGGCAAATACGTCTTCGCATGCGGGCCGCACCTCAGAGAAGGCTCCTAGGGTTGCTTTTGGGTTGTTGTCAAAATTAGGGTCCCTTTCTGGGTACCCTAAATATTAGGTGCCGTATGATATTAGGGACCCAAAAAGGGACCATAATTCTGACAACCACCCATATGACTACCTTAAACTACCAAAACCTGTTTTTGTGTTGGGCCCCATGGTCGTTGAAGCTAGGTGAGGTCTCAAGCTTGCCAGGCATTCTCTTTCAATTGGCTTTCGATGCGGATATAGTACAGGTCCGGGGCCTGTAAACGCCTAAGCCCTTTTATCTGTCATCCCCTGAGACTCGGGTGTTTCGATTTCTAAATACCTGGGATAAGGAAGAAGTCAGCTGATGACGGCCCATGGGTTTGGGATTTGCAGGATGACTCCCTAAAATTCGACATCCAATCTCCTAAACGACAAGATCTAAATCTAATCCCCGGAGCCTGAACCCAAGGTTCAGGAATTTCGACTTCCACCATCCTCTTCCTAAACCCTAAACCCTGCACCCTAAAGCCCTTCCCCAGCCCCTGCCCGGTGCCCGAGATCGCAGCGCAAGGCCGCGCACGAAGAAGTCTAACTCCTCTCAAAAAGTTCAGGGTTTGCAGGACTTGGGGTGCCGGCTTCAACAAGGACCGGCCAGTAATCGTTTAGGGTTAACTAGGGTTTCCAAAATGTAAACATGCAGTCACTAGTGAACTAGTGTGTAGCAGCAGTAGTAGTAGTAGTAGTAGTAGTAGTAGTAGTAGTAGTTGTAGTAGTAGTAGTAGTAGTAGTAGTAGTGGTAGTAGTGGTAGTGGTAGTGGTAGTGGTAGTAGTAGAGTGCCTGGCGTAGAACACTGTTGTCTAGGTACGCTTGCTTGCACGAAAGCTCGCTTTTAAACCGTCCGAAAACATTGTAGAGCTTTCCGAGTCTGCAAGGTTTAGGATGCCCGACGCAATCTAAGATTATCCGGCAAAGTCCGAAGTATGAAGCCCGAGGGCTCATACATCTCTTGCCTATGCTTCCAGGGACCTTATTATTGGGTCCTTAAGGGGTCTAGGGCCCTAACTAGATGGTCCTTGGAAGCGTTGGGCTTGTCCAGGGCCTATCGGGAGGAACGGGATACTTGAGGACTGGGAGCTGAAAGTGCAGGAAACGTGGAATCACGTAGTTACCCGCCTAAGCCCACCTATGGCCTACACTTCAGTGAAACGCCACCGAACTTTTTTGCAATTCCTGCGAGGGCTGACCTACCCACTTCCAGCTATACGTTGAACAACAACGCTGACAAACGTGCGATGCTCACTTGCTACTTGTAGGTCTGCTATACAACTTCATGACTTGCTGAACCTGAAGCTTCCGGAACATGCGAGCGACCTCCATAAGCCATTTTACTTAAGCACCTGCAAAACCGGCAGAGACCCCCCAAACGATCCAAAATGACCGTTTAATGCGGACGTAAATCCAAACTCAGAAGCCCCAGCATATCTGACAGCACTGCAAACCGAAAATCCTCGTCATTCAGGTAGTACGGAAGGTCACCAGTCTCCTTCTTGGAAGAAGAAAGGTCTGAGAGTGGAACATGGGTTTGGGCTTTTTGGGTTACTATCGGGGCCTAACAGTTAGAGTGGGGTTTTGGGGTATACGACACCATAATTACAAGAAGAAGCCCCCAAAACAGCATAGGCACTTATTTAACCCCCTATATGTATATTGCAGTGCTTGGGTCTCGGACTTAGGTCGTAAAGAACTCATAACTTCGGACTCCAAAATTTGGGGCGCAATAAGTTCAGGCTTGAGGCTGCGATGTACACCTGGCAGAACTGGGCTTATGGGGTCCAGGTTTCGGGTTTAGGGTTTGGGTTGTAGTGTACTGAGATTGGACGGTGGCCCTATATAAGCCCTCAATCAATCTACACCCAACATACTGAAGGGGTTCACCAGAAAACCCTGAACCCCAATCATCTAATCCCTAAACCCTGTTTGGTGTATTGAGCTCAACTTACACCCGAAACACTCAAGGAGTTCAGGCACAGTTTCGAAGCTTCGCGCAATATCGGGACCGTAAGAAATAAAATACGGTTTTGGGTAGATTATAGAATAAGTTTAACCATATTACAATACTGCTCGAGCCAATGCTCAAGGTTCGGCTCGCGGTGAATCTATCTCTTCAGTGCCTGCGCCTCCTAATGAAAACCTTCCAAAGCACTACCAAGGCAGATGCCTGCTCACCCGAAAAAACTTAAAGATACAAGTCGTTCTGAAACCGAAGCAAGTCCATATCAAACGAACAACGACCATCGGCCGGATGTCTCTCAGGTGCAAGTGTCCTTCACTGTGTGCATGACATTGAATTCACCCTGCCCGGGCACCCTAATTTCATCCCTCAATCCGAGACCCTAAACCCTGACTCTTCAGCCAGCGACCCTACATAGTCCCCCTAAAGACCTACATACTCCCTCTAAAGACCTACCATAGTCATAGTCCCCCTAAAGAGGGTCCTCCCGCTGGATGATCTCGAAGATCGCCTGGCACATAGGGAATAGGTCAGGGTTTATGCTTGGGGATTTTCGACTCTTCGAGCTCCGGGCTTTTAAACGGGGTTTTTGCCTCCTACTTAGCAAGGACGAGCCCGCTTTGAAAGGGGTTAGGGCTTTAGGGTTTTAGGGTTTAGGGGTTGAGGGTTTAGGGGTGCCCAGAGTTTAGAGCTTATGGCGTACTACGGGACCACCGTGGACTCCAAATGGTAGGATCCTTGTAATGACACGGCTTAAAGCCACCAGAAACAGCTTCCGAATCCGTCCGTATTCAAACTGAGTATGCAAGAAGCTTCCTTTTGGCCGAATCCTGTTGCTTGTACTTTTAAGTTCCAACAAATGGCTCCTACGTGCATCCCAAAACTTAAACCTACTGTAAGCCCTAAATTCGTTGGGGGGGAGCCTGAGAAGGCCTTGCAACAAGCCTGGCTTTTGCAGTCTAGTATAAATATAAGGGCCTTAATAACAATTAGAATAAGGTTTGGGTGTGTTTGTACCATAAATATAATAAAGAAACCCCAAAACCCTATTCTAATTAGTAAGGCCCCTACATGAATATCCTAACCTCGGGATCAGGATTCGGGGGTTCACGGCCTTCTGCTTCAAGTTGACGTTCTGCCACACCGGCATGGCGCCACTCGAAGTGAAATGATAGGCAGCCTATCACGCCGTTTTCGATAACACCCGACCTTGAATCATACGCGTCTGAACCCTATAAAGCCCGTCTTCTACGGTTGCTCCTTGTGATTTATGTATGAATGAATCTATTTTGAAACGGTACGGTGTCCAGCTTCAGATTCTGCTTCATGACGAATTCCGTAATTAAGGGGTCTTTGGATTCGCTCTTGCTGCTGAACTTTCCCTAAACACAAAATTTCCATATCCGGGCCGTGATGACAAGAGTGGGGCCAGTGTACTTATACAGGAGGACTGCCAGGGACAGGGCGAGCGAGAGAGAGCGAGTGAGAAAGCAGAGCAAGGGGCCTCTTACTCCGAAGTTTTTGTGCAAGCCGGGGTATCTGGGCAGAGGGGTCCACGCTCGCAAAGATCCTCGACGCCTCGATGGGGAGGGACAGGTTACACGATTCCTCTCATCAGCAGCATGACGTTGGCCGAACGGTCCGCCTCTATGCGCGGGACGAAGCTCTGGACTTGAAGTTGTCCACAGACGATGTTTTTGCACCAAGCCGAAAGGATGCTTGCGAGTTGAACTTCGCAACGCAGTAGTAGCCAGCTTAGAGGCTTAATGACGCTTCTGGTCGTGGTATATGCCACAGGAGGCTTTGTACTTGGCAATGATCACGCTACTCCACCAAAACCCCCTGAAACTCTGAACTTGCTTCTGCCTGCTCTGCGGCTTCTTGACACTACCGCTGCTCTCTTCGAGGGCAACGGATCGGGCCTAGAGAGCTCCTCCGTTCTGGCGATGTCGGTCCGCCAGACGATGCGGTTTAGGGTTTGGGGTTCAAGGTTTACCAGGCCGCGATCCAATGATCGATCGGCTGCGCGAGAAACTCAACTCAAGAAATGGACTCATGTGCTGCGGACACGGCTGCTCTGGCTGAGGATTCAGCATGTATGGTCTAGCATGTAAGGTTCCGGCAAGATACGGAGTGAGGGTCATCAAGTCGACAAGACCATCAGCTAAGAACATGGATCTTACGATGAGATTCCAGCGTTGATGCTGTAGGTTTCTGTCTGTTCTGATGATTTTGATGACCAGTAGGGTTTGAATTACATGAAGAAGTTGTTAAGATGCATGAACATCGGCAGGCTCGTTCATGTCTGCGAGGAGCAATATGAGGCTCTGCGTCGAACATTGATTCAATCTTCGGAATTGGTATGAAAACCTAGTGCCAACGAATAGACTACGCTTAACGGTTGCAGACGCTCCTACTCTCATGTTGCGGCGTCCGAGCGGTCCCCACTTCATCCTAATCCACTCCTCACCGCAGCACACGGTCACGTCCGAAAAGCATGGATGCAATTGCGCCATTCGAGCTACCACGCGCGGGCGAAGCGAGGCCGCGGTCTCCTGGCAAAAAGGGAAACGAGGTGAGTCCGCAGCAGAAACGAACCGCACGTCTTTTTTCGCAATGCTCTCTAAGAAAGCCTACGATTTGGAGTCGGGAGCAGAGTTCTGGGCTGAGGAGTTTTGAGATGGCTGTCATTTTCGGGATTTGGGGCCCTGAGGGGCTCCTTCGTTTCTGTCGCTGGTGCTGCTCGCTCATATTATGTGAATCATGATTCGGAATCTTTTTGCTGCTCGCATTCTTCACATCGGCTTCAGACATGCAATTCTGCTAATCCTGGTCGATACTCTTGTGCTTCTTTTCGGGGTAAGTGCTTCTGTTCGGGTTCTTGATTACTCTCGTTGAGTTTAGGGTTGAGCGTTCTATTTGCTTTTGCTCTGTGAGCACATCTTGCTTTGAAAGTCTCAAGGCCCAAAAGCCAAAGCAGCACCTGCGGCATCAATCTGGGCTCCATTCTCAGAACCAGGCGTGAAATCAGCACACCCGGGCTGGAAGCCCTAAACCCTAAATCCTAAACCCTAAACCCTACACCCTAACGAGCCAGGTGTTCAAGACCTTACACCTTCCGTGTGTAACCAGGGGCCCCATGTTGAGGAGGATCCCCGAGCCCTCACTGTGAGATAGTATCATTTTGTTTTAGTTACTATTACTGCTATCTATTTATTTACTTATTTATTGTCATTATTATCTTTGTTCTTCTTAGCATTATTAATAGTAATATTCCGTTTCTTAATATTTTTTAGAACCGTTAATATTTTTTATAACCAGTTATTGTTAGTAGTACCACCATCGGCAGTCAGTAGTCGTAGTATTGCTATGTTGTGTTATGTCTATGTAGTGTTGAAGGGGCCATGCTATATCTGCAGTTTCACTCGAAGGATTCCCGAGGTGGACGATGATGTCAAGACCGCTGCCGAATGAACCAGATGCCGAAACCGTAACATCTGCGGTTCACAGGGTGTGTGCTTAAAGGATTTAGGATTAGGGCTTCATATGTTCAGGGTCTAGTTTCTTGGGTTTTAGGGTTGAGGGTTTGTGGGGTATGGGCGGAGAGGGCTTGGCGATTTCGGGATTGAAGGTGTGCTTCGGATCTTGGGCTGTAGGCCCAAAGCTCATAAGGGCCTATAAAATCAGAGCAGTATTTGGGGAATTTTCTGATACCACGACTACAAGTGCACAGGGACCGTTGTGAATGTTAGAAGCAAATTATACAGTAGACAAATGTGGACATGTATATGTTTGTATAATGGTAGTTCTGCTTGGGGTCCATCTTATTAAGGGTACCGTACTATTTTGGGGCCTAAGAAAGGAACCTTGTTTAGAGAACTACCCATATGTTTGTATATGTATACATGATTTTCACCCGCCACGCGGTCACTGAAAGCACCCGAAGGCCCTAAACCCCAAAGCCCTGAAAACTTAACCCTCCCAACTTTAAGCCCTAAGGCCAACAGCCCCAAAGTCTCCGAGCCCGGAATCTAGGTTGTTCAATAACCCATTGGGAAAAAGTAGATGCGTTTTTGGTTTAATTATATCATAAAATTATCCAAGAAACTTTTACGCTTGCTTATGTGATACCGGGAACCCAGAAACAAAGAGGTAACAAAGGATACCACTGACTTCATACAGGGGCCGTAATAGTGGAATGATTGGAATCGAGTTTGGGGTCTATTTTGATAAGGAGCCCTGTAGGGATGGGAGTGCAACCGAGCGTCTGCTCTTCTGGAAGTGATGGCCCCCATGCCCAGGCTGGAGCGCCATCAGACCAGCGCTGGAATTTTCGTGGTCAATGTCGGTTTAGGGCTTAGGGTATACGGTTTAGGGTATAGGGTTTGGGGTATAGGTTGGAGGCTTAGGGTTTCAGGCTCGCAGTAGCATATCAAGTGGATGTTTCATTTTGGAGACTGATCTCTAGCGAGCTGTAGGAACAGTGGGGGGCTGGCGGCATTAGCCTTTGCAAGCCGCCTATCTGATTCTGTGGGTTGCGCTCGCCTGATGATAGTAATTGGGGAATTTATTTGGATCCGAGACTGACATAGAACACTCTTACGTTTAAGTGACAAGTAGACAGTTCGATCGATGCCAGGATCGACTGCGAGATTTCCGGGCATATCCAGTGGACAGTGTGCCGCAAGCAGCTTTGAGTGTCAATCCAGCTCGGCATGACCCCTCGTTGCTGAAGAATCACACGGTTTTAGACAGGGATGCTGCGAACTTTTGGCTAACTAGATAACTCGAGCATGACCCACTTACAAATCGAACGACCCTACACTGGGCCCCCAGGTTCAGGGACACTTTCAGAAACTAAGAAGGCTTTGCTAGCAACCACAAGCTACACTACACCCTAATGCCTATATCCACAGCGGTCAAACCGTATAGCAACCCAGAGAAAACCATTAAACTGCGAAGCTCAAGAAGCCAAACTCCAGGCAGCACATGGCTTCGTTTTCTAACCACGCGGCACCAGCATGCGTCGGATCAGTTTCCAGAAGCCTGCACGACCTATCATGCATGCAAGTGCTTTACTACTATAGGACAGCCGAGGGATTTACAGTTTAGTGTACGGGGTGAAGCCGTATGATTGGAGGGTTAGCGTATGCTAGGTGTTAAAGCTTCGGAGTCCCAGGGTTGTGGTCTTTGGCTTGGGGCTGGCATACGAGCACTCGCACCTCTAAACCCTGAGCTGTAAGTATATAGGGACTTCTGACCACCTAAGCCCCATCAAGACTGGGGCGGAGCTCTAACGATAGCGTGGAAGCACGCTGACAAAAACAATAAGACGTAGGAAACATCCGAAATGCACAGGAAAACAACCGGGCACAAATGAGAGAAATAACAACGAAACTATGACAACCAAAGCAACGATGGCAAACAATAGACAATCAATGGTCCCAGCTTGTACAGGTGTTCATGCTACTGCTAGTTACTCGGTTACGTATGTTTGTCCGAAGCTTCATTTTGTTTCTCATGGGATCATAACCATCATTCTCCAGTTTTAGAACCGTTTTACTCATGCAGTGTCCTAGTTTACATGCTTACATAGCAGTGATTTTCTGTGGTGCTCCTGTGTCATTGTGGCATTTTGGTTTTCATCGTTCCGATCATTGTTCCTGGCTCTGTCAAGTCTTCTCGTGCTGCTCTGTTGGTGTTGTCCTATGCCGTCCGAATGTTTCTGTGTTGCCTCCCATGTTGTCTTTGTTTATCTCTGCTTATGTTTTTTGCTTGGCTGTCGTTGCCTTTTTGTTTATGGCTTTCATGATTCCTACTATTGGTTGTCCAAGAATTTCTCCACTGCTTCTATTTCTGTCCTCTTGGGTTTGGGGTTTAGGTTTCGCGAGTGGGAAGAGTGTTGGGTGTTCAATCTTCCTCCAGGCTGAAGGCTTCGCATAGTCCGGAATACGATAAACGAATCACTTGATTGTTTTGCGCTGGCCATAGCCAGCGAAGGCAGTGGACTGCATGAGGAGATTGCGACCCTCGTGGTCAACCCAAAACCAGTCGATGCCACGAGCCATAAGTGAATGTGTATCCGAAGGCCCCAAGTACTACAAACACTTTTGCCCATGCGGCCACTACTGTTGCTCAGACTGCTCTGTT